ACTTGTGAATCAACTCTAAAAAAGAGAAGAATGAGTCGATATTTTTCACCAGGTCAGGGAGTCTAATTTAGGCTATGGACAGTATGGGGTTCAGCATAACTAACCACATGAATTCCACACTTGACTGAAACGATGCGACGGATGGCAGGCGCAGGCGGCCAGCTGTCCGTAGGCCTGACATGGCGGTGCCGGGGGTAGCATAAGTGGTGGTGGTGGCGGCAACTGTAGAGGAGGCGAAGCAAACCCACTTGCCGAAGCAGAGGCAGAAGCTGAAGCTGCCGCGGCAGCGGCAGCGAAGTGGTCGGCAGCTGCGCGCAGCCAGTCGGCCGTGATCGACGAGACTTCGGCCGGGCTTTGTACATCTGCTGGACTTCCAGTGACGCTGAGGGAAGCGGCTTGCAAGCCGGGGGGACACCCTGGTGCCGTCATAGGAGGCTGCGATGGTGTAGAGGAGCCGCCAGGCACAGAATGCTGGTAAAGTGAATATGTACACCATAGTTCAAGACAAAAGTATCAAATCTAACATATATTATACTACCTACTATCATAAATTATTATAACAATGGTAAAGTAGGAAGGATTGAGGCAAATAAAAGAGTAAGAGAAAGTTAAAGAATTAAAAAATGGGGAGAATTAATAAAGTAAAACAGAGGAGAAGAAAGAAAATAAGGAGCAATTAAAATGAGTACTACTTGTTAAATTGGAAAGTAGAAGACGTTCCATCAACAACCACGCCACTCGAAGTTAGGCAAGAAGCTTTTAGCTGTTGCAAAGTCATCGAGGTTAGGACAGATGATTTCGTAACCTGACTTATTATTTTAACCATACTTGCTTACGGACTTGCGCAGTCTCGGTTAGGACTTTTTCTTGGATCATTAAATCTTGATGACCAAAGCCTGACATTAGCCCTTTTTGATCACTGATTTTGGACCGGTATTGCGATAGACGTTACTATATACACATACGCAGGCACACACGAGCAAAAGTAACAGGACCAATATGAAAGATAATTAGCCAAACCATGCAATTTCTATCTGTCTTTTAATTTTCTTTTGCTTAATTGAGTCCAATAAGAGGTAAGATAGTGCCGGACAGTCTTCTTGACCTAGTGTTAGCATGAGGCCTTTACTAGAATGAATTCCAGCTCTGATGATGTCCATCAAATGATAGATGAAAGCTCAGTCTGTCTCGTGGACTGCGTCAAACTGAATGTTATATTAAGGCTAAACGACCGCAGTACTACGGGAATCAGCCGTCGTCTTCTTATGAGATAGACCTTCGAATCTCTGCTTCGTGCACTCTCATACGGAATGAGGGTCTCTCCAACTACATCGAGACATATTATGCTCGCTTGGTGACCTACCCAGTTCGTTGAAGGCGCTTCGGGCAGCGTGGCATCAAGGTAGCAACGCTGCTGCAACTGCTGCTGCAACTGTTGTTGTTGCTGTTGTTGTTGCTGCTGCTGTTGCTGCCATGCCTGCCACCAATAGTAATAGTCCGACGAGGAGGCGGAATCTGCTGATGGCGAGGTGGTCAAGCTGGTTCGATCAGAGATAGGACCTCGTCGTGGCAAAGAGCATATTGAAGGTGGGGAAGCTGAAAATAAATTGGCATTTATAGAAGTGGACTATGGGAATAGCGAAAGAAGCAAACTTGGAGTGGTATAGTCAGTATGAAATGTATTATTACCATGAAAAGGAATAACGGAATACACTATTATTTGGTTTACATTAGCTCTTCGCGTGGTTGCTGTTAAGGCGAATCAGTTGCGTACATAATAAGGCGCAACCGCAACCAAATGTACATTTTAGCAGAATGTCTACAGAAGAAGGTGATAGCTAATGACCACAAATTTGATACGAGCTAACCTTAAGAAAATGTATATAAGAATTTTGGTCACTCCATATCGTTTAAGTGGAATTATGAGATGTATTCATCCTATTTCGTTTGAGGTGATGAAGGACTGGAAGTAGAATTTTCCCACAAAGATATGAGTAGACCTGACGTTTCCATTGACCTTCACATAGCCTTGCTCTCCCGAAAATAGTTATAATCCAGGGTGGACTGTTTTACTGGTAGTCTCGAAATTCTGCCTATATATTAGAAAAATTAGTAACGTATTCGATTGTTATAGCAAAAATACGTTTGCTTCATTGAAAATCTAACCAAAGAATTGATATGGGAAAAGGCCGGCCTTCCTTGAAATTCACATCTGCCCTGCGTCCGAGTGGTTAACGTGTCAAGCTCACATGCTGAACAGTCACGGTTCGACTCCCACTGAGAGTGCTGATAAGACCCATGCGAGGTCGAAACAGTAGCCCACCCTGAATAAGAATAACTTTTAGGAAAGCAAGGCTATGTGAAATTCAATAGAAACGTCAGGTCTACTCGTATTATTGTGGGAAAATTCTACTACCAGTCCTTCATTATCTTAAACGAAATAGGGTGAATACATCTCATATAATTGCGATCAGTCGGCCTCAGCTATACCGACTGACTGGATGAGCGTCTGCTTGCGGCAAGATATTGTTCGGTGAAATCGTTAATGCCAGAGTAGTAAATTGCCAAGCGGCACAATTCTACTAAACGTACTTTCATTACTTCATCAAACCCTGATGACCCTAGGGTGATGATACGTTCTCCACTAATTACTTAGTTATGATTGGTGGTTTTGAAAGCTGACTTACATACATACATATGCGCTACACACACTTAAATTCACATTAAGAGAGACTAATCAAATCCTTCTTCATCTATTCGTGTGTATCTATTTATGTTAAGTTTCTATCCAAGACCAACTCAGGCAAGCTCGATACAGCAGTCCATATCGGTTACTAAAACCTGTTAAGGAGCAAGAAGAAGTGAAATTTAGTGGCATAGTGAAGCCTTATTGTGGGAACTCTAATATATTATTAATTTTGAGTAGTTATTTGAGGCTACCAAAAATCATATATATGAAATGTGTTCACCCTATTTCACTGGTAGTACTTATAATGGTAGCCCTATTAGGTTATATTAAAAGAGGGCGATAGGCGTCGACTTACTCATAGTTTCAAAATGTACGGCATTGCGTATAATCGGCATGAGCCAATTAGAATGAGATTCAGTTATGGAAGTTTTTGTTAGAGGACATGATGGCCTAAACACATACTATTTTCACTGAAACCAAAGAAGGCGTCTCGTGCACTGCCTTAGCTTGAACAGCATAGCAGGATCAAACGACGACAATGCAACAGGACTGGGAAGTTGTCCTTTTCGTGGGATTTACCTATGAACCTCTTCATCAGGCACTTAAACACGAAATTGAAGTCACT